TGAATGCAGCTCAGAACAGTCACACACACTCCTTCCAGATGGCACGCCACTTCCTAGCTGCCCCGTTTCTTCCCGCAATGACAATAGCAGCAGCCACCAGCAAATGTTGGCTGAGGTGTAAAAGTTTTCAGTAACGGTTAATAATTATCTAAAGAACAGCAAGACGATGATACACAAAGAATATGCATTTAAGGCTCCATGCACTCTAGCTTATTTTTAAGCTCCTAGCAGCTTCTAGCAGATACCTATGAGCATTTGTTTCTGCCCCTAGAAGCAAATAGAGCTATCCTATGTATCCATGCACACTATTTTAGGCTATTTTTCAAGATTCAGCTTTTAGAGGCATTTTTTGGGGCGATTGGTCAGCAAAAAAAAAATTCTGAATGATCCTAAATGCCATTTCCAGGGTTTTGCCATGTCTTTATCAATGGATGACTCATCAGCTAACAGCTGAGTGTAGACAAAAGAATTGGCAATAAAAATTTCAGAAAAAAACATCATGGGACCCCCCCCCCAGTCCATACCAGGTCCTTCAGGTCTGGTAGATTTTAGAGGGGAACCCCACAAAAAAATGATGTGGAGTCCCCCCCCCCAAAATTCATATCAGACCATACTAGTCTGGTATGGATTTTTGAGGGGAACCTCACACCAACATTTAAAAAAAAAAACCGGCGTGGGGGTCCCCCAAAATCCATACTAGACCCTTATTATTTTATTTATTTATGGTACTTAGATAGCGCCGTCAAGTTACGCAGCACTTTACATATATATTGTACATTCACATCAGTCCCTTACCCTCAAGGGGCGTACAATCTAAGATCCCTAACTCACATTCATACATACACATATTAGAGATAATTTAGACAGAGCCAATTCACCTACCAGCATGTCTTTGGAGTGTGGAGGAAACCGGAGTACCCAGAGGAAACCCACGCAGGCCAGGGAGAACATGCAAACTCCAGGCAGGAGGTGCCGTGGCTGGGATTCGAACCAACGACCCTGGTACTGCCAGGCGGAAGTGGCTAACCATTAAGCCAGTGTGCTGCCCCTTATCTGAGCATACATCCTGGCAGGCCAGGAAAGGGGGAAAGCGAGCAATCGCCCCTCTCCCTTAACCATACCAGGCCACTTGCCCTCAGCATAGGGGGGTGTTTTGGGGTAGGGGGGCTTCCTCCTCAAAAGCACCCTGTACAAGTGATTCTTCCCCACAACCCTGGGCGATGGTTGTGGAGATCTGTGGGTGGAAGGCTTATAGGAATCTGGAAGCCCCCTTTAAAAAGGGGGCCCCAATATCCTGGCCCTATGTGAATGAGTATGTACCCCTACTTATTCACCAAAAAAACTGTTAAAAATCAATAAAAACAAAGAGAGAGTACTTTATTAAAAAAATGTCCCCCTAAAGTAAATCCAGCATCAATCACGATAAATGCCGCCGTCGCCCAGAAAAAAAAAAAAAAAATGGTCTGAACCCGATGCTGGCTCTCACTGTCTGACAGCTTAGCCACCTTCCGCCTCTAAATAAACTCAGGGGCAGTGACCCTCGACCCCTTGTGACATCATCGACTGGGGCAATAGATAAAAAAAATTTGTTAAGATGTTCATTTTAATTGAATTAATCCTGCCCATCCAGGAGATAGGATGTTGAGTCCAAGATGTAATTAGAGTTTCTTAAACTGCAACTAGATGAAATATAATTGGAAGAATATAAATCAGAGTGATGGGGGGGTCAGTTGACTACCAAGAAACTCCAGCTGTCAGTTAGCCCTGGAGAACTTCATAGAGGATTTGAGTGTTTTAAGTGTTGCGGGAGGGGTAAAGAGATGTTAAGAGCCAGTGACTTATCTTTATTAAGGTGCAAATTGGAGATTTGAGCAAAGAGTGTAAAGTGAATAACAAATTTGGTAGAGATATTATGGGCTGGCTTTAAGGTTAGTAAAAGGTCATTGGCAAAGAGGGTGACTTTATTAATATGACAGCCGGAGAGCAGACCATAGATGTTTCATCCATGAAGGGTTCATTCCAATAGGAAGGTATAGAGTGAGATTGTAGCCAAGATAAAAACCTAGGTGGCAGTGCGCCCTAGGCTGCTGCCTAGTTTTACCTAGTGGAAGAACCGGCCATGTCTGCAAGTATTATCTGGGCTTGTCTACAGGGAGCCACACCTCATACTTACTGATCAAAGTGGTGTAGTTTAGTCTGATGGTCATACATTAGCTAGTAGTTTAAATATCAATGATAAGTGGGGATATAGGGGCTAAAATAAGATGGGTCTAGGTTCTCCTTACCTGGATTGAGTAGCACTACTATGTGGGCTCAAGATAGAAGTCGGGCAGAGATCTGGATGAGATTTTAAGTGATTGTATAAGTTGATAAGGTGCAGGGCTAAGGAAATCTGCATACATTTTATAGAAGAGGGCTTGTAAAGCTATTGGGCTTGGGTCTATTGATTCCTTAAGAGGATTTAATAGTCTAAAAGTATTTCAGGTTACTGTGACATCAGAAATCATTTTATCCCACATTCCTGCAAAAGTTATTTTTTTTTTGTTTGCTAAGCCAAGGTGGAACAAAGAGGCAGAGGTTTTCATATAAGTCATATAATATAGACTTGAATCAATCAACTATAGTCCTAGAATTCACTGTTAAA